GATTGACATGTCTGTAATTAGCTTTTTAAACTAAGAATAACAAAAAATCAGTAGTTTGTTAATTCCTAATAGCCTGTGATAAAAGTTATTATCTGGGTTTTTTTGGGGAGAGGGTCTGTTTTAAAAATTAACATTTTGGGATTGATTTATGAAATTTATATATTGGAAGTTGAAATTATTGGATAAAATACAATTTACATTTTAAAAACATTTTCAAGTGGAAACTTGCTGAATGGTGATAATTTTTAAATTTAGTCTTTGAGTTCACTATTTAGAGTTCTCTGATAAATTGTTAGAGTTAGAAGTAGTGAGTTCATTGCTTGACCGAATAAATAATTCATATGGCACAAAAGCAGCTTTTTCTTTCTCCTCAGTTCCCTTCTCCCCCATTATATTCACTTTCTCTCTTTTAAAAGGCTCCTTTACAGCCAAATAGCAACTTTGTGTGAATGTGCAAGCACTTGGGCATAGTTTCAACCTCAGTGTTAGCTGAGTATCTGGAGTCATATAAGAGAATGAAGAATTTGTCTTGAATGTATATTTTCCACTAGCAACTGAAAAGGAATATAGTAGTTATAAATTGCTAGACCTTACCCTCTTAGTACAGTTGCCCTGGAAATTTCTTTGAGCAAAATAGGATTTTATTTCTGGGTGTAAAATTTTTCATAGTGTCTGCCTCAAAACAAAATTAAGGTTTAAAATTGAGTAAATTATTTAATTTCTTCTAATTTTTCATAAACTCTTTTTTACTATACTAACTTTTCAGCATCAGTCTAATAAACATGGAATTTAAAAAATTCTTTACTTGCTATTTTAGATTCTTTGTTTTCTAAGAATTATGAAGACTGTATTAGGTATTTATGTGGACTTCCTTTTTCTCTACCTTTTATTATAGCACCAAAGTAGGAATTATGCTAGATTATTTTCTCTCTGCTATTTACATCATAAGAGACTCTGTTTTATTGGGTCAGGGAAATAGTCTTTCTAGCACAATAATCTTCTTTGTCGATGTCACTACTGGAAATGATGTTTATCCTTCGAAAATTAACATCTTTATTTTTGTAATAAATTATTATCTGATATCCTTTAGAGGTTATCTAAAAATATTCCTTTAAGTTTGCATGTATTCAGCACATTTCATGGTATAACAAGACTTTTACATTTGTATAACAAGACTTTTACATTTATATAACAGAAATTTACAATAAGGCAATAGACTGTAATCTAGGCTTCTATCAACTGGAAATTTTTATGAATTGGTGTTTTGCTGCTTCTCCAGTATACTGATACTTCACCAAATACAGTGTTTATCCTTAAGTTTCTAAAGAAGACAAAACATTATGTTTAGTAAAATCCAGCGTGGTTTGTTTTACTGCATACTAATTCTTAATATAGTCTGCAATCATAATATATATGCTATATAATACATGAATGCATATGATTCATAATACACAGGATACAAATCTAGTATAGGAGCTTTATTTTGATATAATCAGACTTTATTCTCTTACCTGTTTGCCTTTCTTTTTCAAACTTCAGGTGATGCCCTTATTTTCATAAGACTTAGTGTTTCAGTTAGTACTAGCTTTATGTGTAGTCATTGCGATTTTATGAAACATTGTGATTTTAAGTACTGAACCATGTTGGGTTTTTTTATGTAAACCGAGTGTAACTTTTAGTAATTATTCAAATTTAAACTTTACTCTGACTTTTCATAATTCTATTTCATTAGTCACAAAAAACAAAAATTGGGGTTCTTATTGGCCCTTTTAGTGCCAACACTGGTATTGTTGAAATACATTTCTAAGGAGGATGGTGAGTGTTTTGCTTTACCAGTTGCTGCATGACAAGCCACCTCAAAGTTTAATGCTTAAAACAACAGTAATTCATTATTTTTCATAATTTTGAGGGTTGACTCAGTCTTCTGCTTTGTATGGTCTTGACTGAGGTGCTAAGGAAGAGGGCAGTCCACAGTGGCCTCACTTACAGACTGGCAATGGATGCAGGCTGCTGGCTTGGAGCACAGCTGGGGGTGGTTTGGGGGCCTCAGTTCTTAAGTGTGCCTCTCTGTGAAGTTAGTTGGGCTTCCTTTTAACATGGTAGCTGGATTCCAAAAAGAAATGTTCCAAAGGCAAAGAAGCTCTAGCCTTTTAAAGAGCCATATTTAGAAGTTACTTAGAGTTACTTCTGCCCACTCTGTTGATCAAAACAAGTTACAAGGCCAGCCCAGATCAACAGGAAGATAAATAGGCTTCATTTGTTAAAGATGGAGTAGCAAGATTACATGTAAAAGAGCACGTGGAATAGTTGTTGCAGTCATCTATGGAAATGCAAACTACCACAAGGAAGTGCAGTTTTTGCTGAGCATAGGTATTTGCCATTACCGCATTTCAGAAACTGGTATAGTCAGGCACACATGGATTTGAGCACTGGCTTTACACTAGGGCCACTTAAGTGCTATTAACCATTACCTTCTCATCTGTATGATAGTAGTCTCAACCTCACAGGATGGACAGTTAAGTGAGATGATATGAAAGTACACAGCAGAGCTGGAAATTCCATTACTCCTATCCTGTTTCTTTTCCCGTGTCCTTCATGTTTGATTAATGTTTATATTTGTGATTATAGTACTTAAAGGTATGTTTTAAAGACAAATCATAATTCATCTGAAGTATCTGTCTTACCAAGATAGTTTAAGTAGTTCCAATCTGAATAAAGTTTATAACATTAACATAATTTATAGCTCTTCTAATACAAGCATCTGTCTAATGCTACAATTCTTTATAAACCTCTGAATATAGGCTATTTACAATGTAATGAGCTACTAGTTGGTAGAAATAAACAAATGGCTATTTGCCATAGTTCTACATTGCGTTATATCTTCTATTTTGCAGAAAAATCTTAACACTTGCCTAAGCCATCATTTTAGGTCAATTCCAGAATTTGTTTATGATCTAATTTACAGATCCCTAGCCAAAGAGATTAAGATATTGAATCAGAGAAAGAAGTCTAAAGAGATAATTTTCCAATGATCATTTCTAAGGAAGGAATGACTATTTAGTACCTGTTTTAAAATGAAGTATTTTATTTTAAATAAATACTTTTATTTAATAAAAGTATTTATTTAAAATAAAATA